AATGAATTTTCATTTTCAAGTTTATTCTAGATCTACAGAGAATAAATAGAACGAGATATAAATACATCATCCTTGTTTACACTGAGTAACACCACCTAAAATTTCGGAAGTTAAGCCCGTAAATTCCTGCCTGTTCCCAGCGTTCAGCAGAAAAAAAAAAAAGCAACAGGAAACCCCGAGCAGCGTAAAGCGTTTTATTCTCTTCAAACCACAAGTAGACGAAGTGTGATTGTTAAACGACTTTAACAGCGTAATGACTTCTTTGACTGTTATCAGAGAATTACTTGCCGGTCTTGCAGATGCTAATCTATTCTACGCAAGTGGTAAATTATTTTTCCGAATACCTTGAAACTGACTGTGTATTGTTTTCCTAGACAAAAGAGATTATTCTTCGTTCAAAAACGTCGTTTGCTCCTATAATCCTACCTATCGCTCTTTTATCCTTTTCTTGCTTTTTCCTTTTGTCTTTGGTTTTCTCCTTTTCTTGCTTTTTCCTTTTGTCTTTGGTTTTCTTTTCTTTTTTCTTTTTCTTTTTTTATTCATTTCCATCTACAAATTTTTTACACATTCATTAATGAAAACCTCACACATGTTACAAGCCGGTAAGTAATAACATTCATCTCTCAGAAATGTTAGATAATTTGAAATTTGGGAAATATCAGTACCTAAAGTTGTCGAGTCCAGTCGGTCAATTATCCTGTGCGGACACGTGCTTTAGTATCAAAAACTCTGACGTTGTTTTTCAGCCAGTTCTGCTCAAATGTACATCGAAAGTTTTGGACCAGATAAAAACATAGGAAGAACCCGTGTCAGTAGCATTTTTTATTCATTCTTTTCTGCTATTTTGTACTTTTTTTCTTCACGAGGGTGAAGAAGTTTGTTTCTTGTAATAATCAGTGTTGTTTCATGCCCGTTTAGCTAAGTTCACTCGAGCTCATCTAAAACTCAAAATAATTCAACACGATGTTTAAAGTAATAAAATTCATCTCTGGTTCCTGTCGTGCGAATGACTTAATTGCCTAGGTTCAACCTGATAAATACACTTAATAAACCAACAGAGCACGCATAACAACAGAGTTGCCTACCTGAGAGGAGAATATCTCTCAACTTGAGTTATCCCACTGCACGTGCTCGTCAACTCGCTTATACCATCGCACGGAAAATTTTCCTTCGGACCACTTAGGGAGAAATGATAATTTTGACATATGTTCCAAGCTGTCGCTTTCATATGATGAAAGAGAAGAAGCTTCCCGTTATTTGTTATTATTTATTCATATGAAGTTAGAAATTTAAGTTTGACAAGAAGTTATTTTCAAAAAAAAAGATCATGCTCTTTTCCTGGAATTAACATGGAGGGACGTTGTGAAAGAATACTGGTGCAAATTGATGAAGTCAAATGTTTCTGTTAGGATCCTATAAAAGATTTTAGCCTCAAGATGGTGATTAATAGTTGCTAGTATGCATAGTCTAATTTTTTTGTATTTTTGCTCACTTTTTTTTTAACTTATTTGAAAAGAAATTGATAAGACCAAAAAGGTCGGAGCCTCAGAAGAGAAAATTGAAAAAGCTCAGCTCTTACAAATGGTAAACCAAGTTAGATGTTCAAAAAGTAAAGGAAATAACTTCCAACATGTACAAGAAACTTCAGTGAGGCAGCCTAAAGCCTCGTCCACACCACGACGAATAAAGACCGAAAATTAGGCCCTTGTTATACCCATGCTCGAATCTGCAGTAGTCTCTGTCAAAAGTGAGTTCTGCTGTGAAGAAGAGAAAGATTTTATGTGGACGAAAAACTCGTGTTGTGTTGAGTTTCCGGTAGGCCGTGTTCAAACTTATCAAGCCAAATCTAAAAGATATCTTACAGCTACTAGGAACTCGAAATTGTTGCTTTACTGTTACTCTGATGTTGTTTTTCGGAGCTGTTTCTACTCAAATGCAAGTAGACATATTGAGCCTGATGAAAAAATTGGGAAGAACCCTCATCAAACGAATTTTATTGATTCCTTTCCGTATAAATTTCTACTTTCCGTTGGTGATTGAGTTTGTATATGTCCCGTTTACTCGCCATCCTGTCAATAAATTAAATTTTTAGACTACATGTTTCAACGGGTCAATTTCGTTCCTGGTTCCTCTAGTAATAATTTTACTTGCCTCAGTTAAACATGATAAATACATTGAATAAACCAACAGAGCACTTATAACAACAAAGTCATCTACCAGTCGCATTTACCATCGAACTGAAGATTTTAATAGTCAGATCACTCCGATAGCACAATAATTCTGACAGCTGTTTCAAGCTGTCGCTTTAAATGACAAAGCAAGGAGCATCCAGCAACTTATTTATTCATGTTAAGTTGGAAATAAGGTTTCATGTACTCGTATCGGAGTCATTTTAAAATAAAGATCAATCTCTTTTTCTGAGAATCGGCTCATGGGAACATTGTTAAAGTTTACCGGAAAAAAAAAGGTAACTCTAAGTACTTTTTAAGTTTCCATAAAAAATTTTGGTTTTGAGATTGTGGTTATCAGTTCAGTGATGATTCGCTTGCTTTCTCGCTGGCAAAATATGGGTTGCTTCTCGGTGAGGTCTCTGTCTCTGTCCCTATATTGGCGTGAGGCTACACGATGCGGAAAGAAACTTGGAAGCATTTTCTGAGTCAAAAGGCCGTTTTCAAAAACTTGTCTGGCGTACTTAGCTTTCTTAAAGAACGCAAAGGAAAGAAGCAGATGGTTGCTGGCTTGTATGATTTCATCTGTTAAGAGGACAGCGCGATCACGACATGTCAAAATTTGGGCAAAGTAAGTACAAGATTAATTTTCAGTCCTTGGCATGACATTTATGAAAAATGCGGTACTATTAACATGAATGCTTAAAATGTTTTTCAGTCTTTTTTTATGGGATAATGGGTAATTACCGTTGTTAATGAACTAGAATGACAAAAAGAGTATTAAATTCTGAATCTTTAATCATAGTGTTGCAGGATATATTTCATTGCATAGATATGCTTTGATGCGCACGAGGCTCTTCAGGAATTATGAGGAGTCATAGAAAATCTCTAGTTCAAACGCCGTGCAATTTATGCGTGCATTTCCTGTGGAATAAGGTCTTCAATTTTATCTGTTTGTCCTGATACATGCTTGGAAAATGTTTGTACCGCAAATGAGTTTTAGTTTTTCATTATTCATTTCATAAAGAAATGTTTTTAGAATAAAATCTAACATGAAGTTTATTCTTCTATGACCAATTCAAACATGAAGGCATCAATTAACATGAGTAACAGTGTTTTGAAATGAACTAATAAGATAGATGCGTTTCTGAAAGCAAAAATTTAAAAGTTTTCGATTTGCAAGTCTTCCTCGAAAAAAACTATTGATTGAAACCAAACTGAAACCGAAACTGTGATTGGAATCGTAAGTCCGTCATCAACAGAACATGAATATCGTCCATGCTATAAAGGTACACAGACAAATCCTGTGACCACGAAAGAAAGGTCACTGCAGTTCGTATTGGAGCTGTGCTGAATATTAAATTTATAACAAGGTTTCTCTGTAGCAGAATTTTTCAGGGAAAGTTCTGACCAAATATTCTGTGTATGTGAAAGCGGTTATTTTGGGATAAACTAAGGAGAATTAGCGAAGGACTAAGTTCCAAGAAGGTTTATTGCTACTGGAATTTGTTTAATCTACAATGCAGGTTAAAAGTCTTGATACACTTAGCATGATATCACTAAAATCGAATTATTCCCCACCCTTCTCACCCAAACAATGTTGAATTTTGTTCGCTTTGTGAAATAACTTTACTAGACGCGATGACAGTTCAGTTTTACCAATATTGTTGGAGGAGGGAGGGGAGGGGTAGTTTGTTTGCCTGAAGTGGCAAACAGTGGTCTTTCAATAGCTTTCCCAAGGATTTTTGACCCCCTTGTAGTCCTATGTAAAAGAAATGGGAAGTGAGTATTTATTTGGACCGGGATTTTCTGTATTGAATGAAATCTTGTTATTTCACGAGATGTTTAGTGAGCAGCCTATCTTGTTCTTATGTACCAAATTATAATAAACCGTAGATTACAAGCAATTTGTTGATTTTACAAGAATTTTTACAAATGTTCGATTCCTTTGCTCGATAATTTAGATTAGCGTAGGTGATCTTCTAGGTAATGTTCGTAATGGTGCAGTAAATAGTTGTATTGAAACCCACCTCACTTGTTGGATTCGGAGGAAAAAAACGTAGAAAATGAATGAACAGGGCCTTTCAATTCAAATTCTTTAATAATTAACTGCAATATCCGTATGAAAAACAAATAAAGAAACATGCATTAGTAGCAAGAAACAAGAACAACAATTTTCGTAAAATTTGCCTTCTTAGCGGTAAGGAATTAACACCTCCTAAAAGTCATAGCGTAAAAGCAATTATTTGAACAGATTCACTTGGCTACCACGACATCACCCAGTGTGCCATATCGATNCCTTTTTTTCTAGACCGGTCTAGATGCCGGTCTAGATGGGAAAATCTAGACCGCTTTCAATACTGATTTCAGCCAATCAAATTCGTGAATTCTGTAGTTCCCAGTCTTTGTGAGACACAGCCATATAATAATTTGAAATATTAGATCACTCTTAACCCCTTGACCCCTTGGAATGACCAGCATGTACATGTTATTTCTCCTTAGTCAGGGCTCGACACTTAATTTTTCAACCTACTAGCCATGTGGCTCGTGACAACTTAGATGCCATTGCAATTTCAGTTTGTTTACTTACCAAAATGTCTAGTGGAAATAAAAACCCTAAGTCAAAACTGAATTTCTACTAGTCTGTGGCTAGTTGGCTACCACTGGTATCAAGCCCTGCTTATAATGCCCCCCACCCTACATCATACCTGAAAGTCACAAGAATAAAGGAAATGTTTACCAATTCAACTAATGATTGTTAAACAAATTCTCCTTGTCAGCACCTTAATAAATGTATGCAGAAAAGTATGGAGAATATGCACACTGATGTTAGGACGTTAAGGGTTATTAATCTAAATGACAGACACACATACTGCTGTAGATATGATAGTATGTATTTGCTTCAGAAAATTCAAGTGGGATACATATCCTTGTAACAACTTCACCAGTTACCTTTCTCACTGTTGGAAGTTTCCCCAGCTCTTCAATAATCCTTTTTTTCTGTTCAGCAAAGCTCTTCACATTAGCCTCCATAAGGTGTACATTATCGAGTGCTTTGTGAACTATAGGGGCAGTGAGTTTACTGATGTTGTAGGGAAATTTCACTTTGTTGAATATTGCAATGATGTCTTCATGAGCAATTGCCATTCCAAACCTTTAAAGAAAAATAAAGAGTATTGAACTTTTTTTATAATCAAAATTTCCAACTTTCACAAACTGTGTGTGAAACAGATAATCTGAAACCAGCAAAACTTTTGCAAAATTTGACAAGGAGTTTCTCACAACATGCATCAGTTAATTTCGTCTTGGTTTGTTAGTGGCTCAAGTCGATAAAAATAAATGATTTGGGGTTTCAAACTCTAAGAAAGGATATTAACATCAAAATAACTTGTAGAGATGTTCTTAGGACAAAAATCTCACCTTATTCCAGCCAAACCAAATGCCTTGGAAAAAGTCTGCAGAATTATTAAGCGTGGATACTTGTCTAAAAGATAACACAGGCTCCCAGAATTGCTGAAATCAACATATGCTTCATCAACCACCACTATTCCTTCAAATCTTTCAAGAAGCCCTATAATCCTGTCCGTTTCCAGTGTGTTGCCTGTTGGGTTGTTTGGGGAACATAAAAAGATCACATGGGTTTGTGGAGTTACTGCATCCAGAACCTAAAAAAAAAATGTTCCTATGGCTCAATGTCAAAGCATAGTTAGAACTACAGCTGATCTGGCATCTAGCATCTGGGAGGCATGCCATCAAAGCCTTAACCTTTTTCACTTCCAAGATCTCATCAGTAATTCTCCTTACCATCAGTTATACAATTCGCATGATGTCAATTCAGAGAATTTCAGTATTGAATCAACTAATAATCCCCTAATGATATTTTTCTTTATTCTCATCACTTTTCTGTTTGATATATTGTATTGTGATTTTAAGGAGAAACCCTGTCTCGATCACTCATTACTTTTCCACACTTCTCTCTCTGAAATTCTTCACCACCAGTAATAGCATTTATAATTATAATTTACCTGTTATGGCATCATCATTTCATTTATTAATTATAAAGAACTGACAAAAAATGAAATCAGAACTTGGAAAATGAACAGGGAAAGTGTGAATTTTTGACAATAATTGCTGAGAACAATAACAACATCAAAAAGCAACAACTGCACAATCCAATAAAAATGCAGTGGAGGAGGGGGGTGGGGAGTCCTGAGACCAAATCATGTAAACTGAAATAAAGGTTCTGCATATCATAAATACATAAACATGTAAAGTGCATGACTAATAGTGTCTCAAGCAGGAGTGAAGTGAAGTAAACATACGCGAATACACAGTATAATACCTCGTCAACTCGCAAATGGAACTCTTCTGTCAGAGGAACTGAAATGACTTGAATATTATTTATGTCAGCCACAACCTGAAAAAAAGTTCTGCTTTTTAATAATCAAACGTTTTCATCTCTCCCGATGAAACAAAATTTAATTTATTACAAAGTACTCCGTTTACATAATCCTCAATCTTAGGACAACAGTAAATAATTGCAGAGGGAGACGGTTGGAGTGCTAAACTCTAGTCAAGCAGTCCAGGTTTGACAGCAGGGTGTGATAATTATGTGTTTCATACTTGGACAAAACACTTTACTCTCAGCTCGCCAATTTCCCGTGCAAAATTTCTAACTAAGGAAAACATAAGAAACGACAGCTGAAAGAAAATTGAAAAGAATATAATATCTGTTTAAGCAAACAAAAGAAGGAAAAAGGATAACTCGAGCCTTGTCGGGCACAAAGCTTATTCAAGTACGGGTATTCTGTACAATTCTATTTTGAGCTTCACTAGAAAGGTTATACGATTTCAAAACACCATATGACTTACTGTTTCTTTTATGTTTTTATTTGTACTCTAAAAGCAGGCCGACTAGTCATGACAACGTTGAACGCTGTGTTTAAAAGCATTCTCTTTGCTGTTTTTCTCTCTCAGTTAGACAAGAAAGGTATCAATATTTGTCGCCCCTTGGTATATACTGTTTTGGAGACTAAATAGAGCCGACAATCTCTTCTGAAAAGAACTGGCTCTAGAATGAACTAAAACATGAGGGAAATTCCACAAAAATTAAATCATGATTTTGGCTGAACCATTTGGAGCTTCATCCAGCTCAGCTATGGTTTTCTTCAAGGTTTTAAGCAGTACATCGTTTTCCTCCGAGGTCCCAACGGTAATTCTAACACAATCTTTGCAATGGACTTTAGATCCTTGATAGCGAATCACAACTCCTTTTTCTGAGGCCATTTTCCTGTAGATCTCATAGGCGTGGTCTATCCTTAGAAAAACGAAGTTGCTATCTGAGGGAAAAATCTAAAAAAGAGAGAGATGAAAATACAAATTTAATGTTCTCTTTATGTGTCAGTTCGAGGTCGAATAGCTGGTAAGTTTGTTAAATTTTCACACATTGCAATTCTAATGTCT